TTTAATTCATTCAGGTAAGTTCCCCACACGGGAGCAAAGGCAATCAACCATCTGTCCCAGACAGTAGGATGGTAACATGGATGGGCAGTCTTTCTTTGTGACTTCATGCTTAACGATAACCAGAGAAGAAGGCAGAAAGCACTGAATAGTCACCCTATGCCTCTTTCTGAAGTCCCTAGTCTATATTTGGGGGGAAATTATTTAGGCACTTTGACAGACACTTTGCATCTTGGAGATGCAATGTAATGGGCAAATCCCCCTTGGAGCTAGGAAAGAAATGCACTCCAACCTAGAAAAGGGTAGCACATTTTTTAAAAGTGTGATTTAGAAATCATGCAAACTTTCCACTAGGGATCCAGAGTTGGCAAAGTCCCCAAATTCAGCTCTCTTCTCCTCTCTTCTTTTGCTCCCTGTTCTCCACTCTGTAGCTTCCTTTCTTGGTGTTTGCTGTTGTTCTACCTACCTGAAACAGGAAACCTCTGTGCTTTGTTAAATGGCCTGAAGAGTGAGCTAGTTTCTCTCCACAGCACTTTATGGCCTCCAGACATTTCTGGGAAATATAACACAACTTGGTAAACCTCTCTGGCCAAGGATAAAGTTGGAGAGTATTTTGCTGAGAGGTTAAAAATGACTATCCTTCAGTTTTTTTCCCTTTAGTTAAATAGGCCCCCTCGAACCCTGGAGTAGAGTATGTATCTTCTAAATTCTCATGTCTGCCCACTTTATGGAAAATTTACTGCTGTGTGGTGAGGCCCTTAAGTAAAGAGGAGGCTCACTGGAGGACTCTCATGACACATGTATGTTCTGCTTAGCCATCTCAGTGGAGGACTCTCATGATACATGCATGTCCTGCTTAGCCTCAGTTGTCAACTTGACTCAGCTTAGAGTCACCTGAAAGGAAACCTTTGATGGAGGAGTTGCCTAAATCAGTTCGGCCTGTGAGCACATCTGATGGGGATTGTCTTAGTTGCTGTGGGAGGATCCGGCCCACGGTGGGGAGCACCATTCCCTGGGCAGGGTTGGAGTGGTGGCGGTGGTGGTGCTGGCTGTGTAACCACAAGCCTGCCTTACCCAGCATGCAGCTGTCTTTACTCCACGGTTTCTGCTTTGAGTTCCTGCCCTGACCTCAGTCAGTGATGGACTGTGACCTGTAAATTGAAATAAACCTTTCTCCCCACTGACAAGATTTTGGTCGCAGTACTTGTCACAGCAATAGAATGGAACTAGACCGACATCTATACAAAGAGGCCTGCTTACCGGAAACAAGCCAGGCCTAGCAAAGCATGGATGTGCCCTTTGTGTTCAGGTTTCGTGTAACCCTTCCTGACTGTGTGGACCTTTCTGGAAAAGCGGATAGAAAGGTGAAGTTCCACCATGACACTTCAGTTAGGAGCTGGGCAGACATAATACCTCAATGCGTCCTTGTGTTAAGGCCAGGCATCTACAGCTCCCCATCATGACTTACCGTAAGTCCTGAAAGATATTCCTCTGAAGGGTTTATATCATGCCTTTTCTGAGTCACTATCCCTGTTTCCACTAATGATATCCCTCTGTGAGAGCCTGCTTTAGTCAGATGCTGCATGATTTATGTAATGCACATGGAGCTTTGTACCCCAGCATACCTTGCTCATGCTGGCAATAAAACTTGCATTTTCCGGGGCCTGACTCACTTCCTTTTGGCTTGGTCTTATACTAATCTGTCCATGTAAGTTGTCCCCTGTGTACACTCACAGTAGAGTGGCACTTCCCAACAGGACAGATGAGTCAAAAACGTGGTAAAGCTGGAAGCACCAAGACATGTTTTATGGTGACGTTTTCATTTTGAGACTAGAGTTTGTGTGTTATGACAGAGGCACTAAGAAATGGGAAAGTATTAGCTAGTGAAATGGGGCGCGGGAAGAGCTCACAGCACGAGAATGAGGACCTGAGTTCAGATCCCTAGCACCCAGGAAAATACAGGCAGGTGTAGCAGCCCACCTGTGTGTGATCTCAGTGGCTGGGAGGTAGGAATGGTATCCTGAAAAACAACCTGGTTAACTACACCAGCCGAGTCAGCAAGCTATGGTTCAAGTAAGAGACCCTGTTTCTGTAGATGAGGCTAAAAATGACAGACTAACATGCCTCACATCAACTTCTGACTTCCACACACACACACACGCACAGGTGCTTATACCATGCACGTTTGTGTAAACATACATAGACTTCCGTGGACATGCCCTGTAAACACATGAAACCATAGGGATGGAAAGATGGTTTGGGGTAAGATCACGTACTGCTCTTGCCTAGCTCAGTTCCCAGAACCTGTATGTTGGGTGAGATGCACAACAGCCTACAACTCCATCCTCAAAGGATCAGACCCCTTCATCCGGCCTCCACAGGCACCTGAACACATGGGAACATATCCCCACGCAGAAACACGTGTAGAAACATAATTCAAAAGGAACGTAAGTCTTTTTTAATAGGAAAATAAAGATTCAGAGGTATAGTTGCATGGTGTGCTTGTATCCCATGTCCCATTCTGAGCACTTCAAAGAGAAAGAGATGGGCAAATGTGTCTGTGTTACCAGCGGACTGAAGCAGATTGAGTGGCGCATGCCCATGGGCTGCCACTTGAGGATGTCCGCCTGCAGGTGGGAGTGTGGGGCCAGCACACTGGTGCCATGAGAAAGTCTGCCGATTCCGAGGCTCTCTCTTGGATGAGTCCTGATAAACCAGCAAGGTCCAAAGAGAGACTGGTGCTTGAAAAGCCACTCCAGGAAAGCAGCAGGCCCTTGAATGTCCCTGAGAGCACTGGGAGTCAATCAAGGAAAGAGACAAGCTGTCCAAAGCTAAACCACTGTGGGCACTCCCATGGCACCAGGGCCGCAGAGGAAACCATAACCAATAAGTTCAGGGGATGACATGGTTCGGGATTTTAGACAAGCATTTGTCTTTGAATGATTGCAGTCTGCCGGAGGCAAAGGAGGCAGGGGCTGAACTGCGGTCATAACATGCGTCAGACTAAAACAATTCTACACTACCATTCTCTGTGCAAATGGCCGTGTGCCGGGGATGCTGCACAAGGGGCAGTTAAGATCTGAGATAAATATTGTCCTTGCCCAACACGCATACCACTCTTGTGTCCCGTTCTTCAAGACAGAGATTGTTACCTGCGTAGGAAGGAGAAGACTACGGCACACGGGTCCGAACTGCTTTCTCTTGCCCATGCAAGTGCATCAGGTCTTGTGCCCAGGCATCCTAACTTGAGCAGCTGTATGGCAGCAGCGTGATACACGGCGTGGATGAATGTGACATTGTGTTAGCATGGATGGGATGACAGGCAACTTCTTGAAAATAGAGAACTCAATACAGGTCATAGATACTGGGATACGCAAGAGGAGATGACAGTGCCAATGGCAAGACTGAGGGAAAGAGGGGAAGTAGGGGTTGTGCAACAAAGTAGTTTGAGAGTTAGGAAGACCCTAACCTTAGTGGTGTGTGTGTGTGCACGCGCATGCATGTGCGCACTCATTAGTTTGCTGCCTTTGGCCACAAACTGAGAAGAGGGTGGGTGCCAAGTGGTTGTGCATTTTCCAGTAGATGCACTGAGGTATCTGTGTAGCCACTGGAATGAAGAGCAGATTGGAGCACCAAAGGTCATGGGCAAGGATGAGGCGGAAGGGCAAACCACAGCTCACCGTCTCAGCTCACCCCTTCTTCCCCCTTTCCAGTCATCGATTCCCTGTCGGGAAGGACAAATGCAGTGCGCATCTATGGAAGTTTGTACTTGAGTCAGGCTAGGAGAGGACTCAGCAGTGGCCCGTGGTTGTGATGCCCTGCCGGTCAGGCAGAGACAGGAGGCTTTCTGAGGCTCATTGGCCAGGTAGTTCAACCCAGCTGGCAAGTTCCAGGGAAATGAGAAACTTTTTCTTAAAAACCAAGGTGAGGACAGCTAAGAAAGACATCTGACCTTAATCAATGAGGGATTATAAAAAGTGGTGCCACCTTCTTTGTAAGAATAGTAACAGTCTACCATTTGGATCGAAGATTGTTGAGTGAGAGAAAATGCACATGTTATGTGCCTGCAACTTCTTCAACTCATAGGACTCACCCAGTAAAGAGCTTCTCCTTGGTTATGGACATCAGTAGACAAAGGATCTTTTAATGTCTAAGGGCACTTTCAATTGTTGAACAAATCTCACATGTCTCCTGGTTAATTCAATACCTCCCCATGTGATGTGCCCATTTGAGACAGGTGTCTTAATTAAATAAACTAATAATTTCACAAGTACAAGTGCAAAAGCATAATTATCCAATTTGCTAATTGTTCCATTGTGTGAATTTGCATACTTCTTGCTTGCCACACAAACAGTTTGTCTCGGAGTATCCTACCATTGAAATAATGGAGCCCCTCTTGGGAGGAGCATTTTCTAAAGTGTGTTAAGAAACCCTGCACAAGGGCTCCTTAGTTAAATGTGGCTGAAAAGTGCCAAGTTCAAGAAAATGGACTCATTTTGTTTCTGTGGGAGGTGCAGTTCCTGTAATGACACATTACACAGGTACGGGGCTCTCTGCATCATGAGCATCGGATACTGTTTTAGTGTGGTCTCGGCCATGTGTCAGGTACCGGGCTCTCTGCATCATGAGCATCGAATACTGTTTTAGTGTGGTCTCGGCCATGTGTCAGGTACCGGGCTCTCTGCATCATGAGCATCAAATACTGTTTTAGTGTGGTCTCGGCCATGTGTCAGGTACCGGGCTCTCTGCATCATGAGCATCGGATACTGTTTTAGTGTGGTCATGGTGATGCGTGGGTGTCACGCTTTTGTTCAAGAGCTACCCTCTTCTGTACTCAGCCGTGGACTGTGGCTTTGCATCTCTCTGCTCTGTCACTGTATCTCACTGTGCCTTTTTCTTTTCCTCTGTGTCTCTCTCACTCTGCCGCCCCCCATACTCACAGGGAGTTCTTTGTAGACACTCCAGCAAACATAGAAACCTTTTGTGTCTCCCTTTTATCCTAGGCATGTTGGCAGGACTGTGTCCCCTCCACAGCCGTGCAGTAACTCTGGCTGCTTGTTCTTGGGCAGGCTGTACCGAGAGCTCACATGTACTGAGCATCTCCACTCCACAAGAAGGTAAAGTAATTTCAAAGGTCTTGACTTCCACATTTCAGTCATGAATAATAAAATAGGAGAAGAGCTAAATGCTGCGAGGCCATTTGCTGGAAAACCCCGACCTAATTTGATGACAAAGTGCATTGCCAGGCCATAATTGCTCCCATTTTTTGGGGGGGTGCGAAAATGAATCAAACTCCATAGCCTTTAATGACATGCATCTTTAATAGCTGTAATGCAGATTAATGGGCTTTTTAATTGCTGTTACATTGTTCATGCAAGAGCCTTGTCATTAATATGAAGCATCTGAAAGATTAATGAAAGCTTCCTCATTTTACTATGGCTCAGAAGTAAATCTAGAGACAGTCTGACTAAAAAGAATTGATTGTATGGCACAGTTTGAAATTGAGAACCAAACGCTTGATTTCCATGGTCTCTTTTAACTGCTAAACACCAGCATGGGCAACCATGATTTCAGGAGGACAGGGCCTCCAGATGCCAGTCGAGGCACAAACAATCACTGCTCCCTGCTGCCTGCTTGAGTCTCACCTCTGTGGTACCTGAGATGTGTAGACGGTTGGTCTAAATTAATGTTTCAGAAAACATACATTCGATGGCAGTGGGGAAGAGGAAACATTTCAGGACTCCAATCACATTACTTCAAGAAATACCAGCTCTCGGAGTGCCAAAAGAGTAGTTACTTTGTCTTTCTGTCTCCTGTGGGCTGCCTAGCAGGAAAGTTACTTAGATCTCAAAGCTCGGTCTTCACAGCAAAAGTTAGTCAGCAAAGGCATGCTCGCTTGGGTTCTCTCTCTCTCTCTCTCTCTCTCTCTCTCTCTCTCTCTCTCTCTCTCTCTCTCTATCTATCTATCTGTCTCTCTCTGTCTCTCTTTGTCTGTCTCTTTGTCTCTGTCTCTCTCTGTCTCTGTCTGTCTCTCTCTTTCTCTCTCCTGCCAGTATACATGCTTCCATAAAACCTTTTTTCCTTTTTGTCCTTTTCAACTTTTGCATCATTTGCATAGGAAATATGTTTAAAAAAAGAGAGGGAGAGAGAGTGTGTGAAGGCAGAAGCCAATATGGTGACATAGTGATGACATACAGGGTTTTGTAAAATCCTTCTCGAGAACTTTCATTCTCTGTTTTACACCTGGTATCTGTGCCATCCAAGAAACATCATTATCCTTTCTCAACACCATCCCAGTCAAAGCTATGAAATGGCATTGTTCCTCTCAGTGTGAGACTGTGTCTTCTGGGGTACACCATTATCATCTCATTTCCACCAGCCATCATCTGGGAGCTTCACATTGCTGTCTCTCTACCCTCTTGTCTAGACTTTACCTGATACCCCTCATACCTATATCACAACCATTTCACCAAGGGATTGCCCACTCAACTGGTTCAAAGCCCCTCATCGTTATGTGTACAATTCCCAAGTCTCTTTTCCAAGGAGCCATGTCTAATATACAGAATGATATTTCTGTTTCTGATTAGTTTTTGTTTTGTTTTTAATTTTCTGTGATTTCAATTCACTGACTAGTGTGTAAATACATTTTTCTTTAACAGCTATGGTGTAGTCTCAATATACAATTAATTCAACTGTCCGCGTCCTGACTGTTCCTGTAGTTGGAGAGTTTTTAAGACATCCTAGTTAGGAAACACTGTGTTGCCCATTTCAAATCCTGTGCTCCGCCAAGCCAGCTCACCCTACTTCATCTGCTTTAAAAGGCTCAGCCCCACGAGGACATGACGGGTTAACAATACTTTTGATGAAGTAACATAAACGTCAGTCAGCCGAACTAGAGTAAGGATGCCCCATCCATCACAGATGCAAATTCTCAGGAATTCAGGACAGTTATTTAGCACTGTTCCTAAAGCAATTACTGACAGGCTGCCTGTGAGTCAAGAACACTTCCATACACGGGACTAGAGTGTTAGCCCATGATTTATTGGTTTGGGTCTAAAAAGTTTTACTTAGAAAAGTAAACTAAAATTAGACTATTTTATTTGCCCACAGCACCCGAAGAGGTTCAGACACCACCAGTGGCCTTGTCCCTCCCCAACTCTTTGTCATTCTCCTGGAGTCCACCCAAACAAGCAAATGGGATTATTACCCAGCACTCCTCATACATGGATGTGAGGCTGGTCTACCAGGCAAAGAACAAAGCTAGCTACACAGTCACAGGTAATACACTGTCACTATCAGGTAATAGATTCGTATACGTGCTTTCGAGATGACCACTGTGTATGTTTATCTGAATCAGGTGAGTGATTTTTGCCTCCTTGTGACATCAAGGGAACCTTGTGACTGTACTAGGCCAGACCTTTCTGGGTTCCACAGACCACGTGTGTGAAGCTGAGTGTGCCTGTGGCCCTCATGTACACGGGCTCTGGGAGCTGAGTAAAGTGGTAGCATCCTTAAAGACCCCAGGGTCACATAGCCAACTATTTGAAATCTGCCTGCATGGGAAATAGTTGAAGATGTAGATAGATGATTCAATACAGTATAAATCTTAAAACACTTAAGAAGAAGCCTATAGGTCCAAATTATATGATACCTGAGCAAACGAAATTGTCAGAAGATTTCTCAGTGCAAGAGGCTCACAACGAGTGTGCCATATGGCATTTGCATTGTGTTAATGCCAGATAGTACTTATTCATATGAACTTTGTGTTTCTAGTGTTGCATGTTGTTCAGGAGAAGATAGTGTTGCTCAAACATTGATTGATTTGAAAACTGAGTGCTAGAGACACTAAGGTTTTGTGAAAGGCTATAATGACTTAGAGTTAATTATTCAAGGTTTCACTCATTCACATGAATGCCAGAGACTAAGGTGACAGAGGAAACCAGCATGCCCCACCCCTTCCTGCTGTCCCTGGTTTTCTGGGATACATTCAGACACCAGCACGAGGCATTGCTGGGCAGTTGTAGTCTCCTTTGTATTTTTGTCTCCTCCTTAGTCTGAGACTATAAAGTGGACAAGAATTATTTCTTTTGTGTTTCATTCAGAATTAGATGCACATCTGAGATGATATTTTTCCCCACAAGGTAGAAGTTGTCTCTCCTTTGCAGATAAGGAAGTTGAGATATGACAAGAAAAAGGTTGCACAACATGTGAGCGACAGACGTTGGTACTGACTAAGCATTCTAGCTAGTTGAAAGCCATGGACATCTGAGACATCTTCTCTGAGTCTTGACATGAGTCTATAGCATGAGCATGATGGGTAATCTCCACTGTCAGCTAGCCTGGATTTAGAATCTCTTAGGCAACACAGTGCTAGGTGTATCTGTGAATGCTTGAGGAAGAGACTTTACCAGAGAGGAAAACCAAACACAAATGTAGGTACGAGGTATGTTCCATAGGCGGACACACCAGACTCAATAAAAAACAAAAGAGGAGAGAGCCAGAAGAGTGCCTGCTTTCCGCTCTTTTTCCTGATGTCAGCAAGAGCTGCCAAACATTCCTTCTTCCAGCTGCCCCTGCAGTGATGACCTGTCCACCCCATGTTTTCATGCCACCCCTGCAGTGGTGACCTGTCCACCCCATGCTTCCATGTCTCCCCTGCAGTAGTGACCTGTCCACACCAGCAATGAGCCAAGATAAACCTTTCCCTCCTTAAGATGCTTTTGTCACAAATTTTGTCCCAGAATGAGAAAAGAAACTAATACAGTGGGAATAATCACATTTTAACATTTTAAAGGAAGTAGACACCATGGTACATACAAGATATTGTTTCTCCTTGGTAAAGCAAAGTTGTAACTATTAACCAGGTCTATGCCTTATAGTCCCTAGAAAGCTCAAGCAGAGACATTGAGATTCAAAGCCAGTCTCTTACATGGTAAGTTTGAGGCCTCCCTGGGATATATATCTGGAGACCCTGTCTCAAAAAACTTATAGGAAAAAATAAAAGGCACAATTACCATTTCCTTTAGGATACAGAGTTCATATTACAAATTAAATATTAGAATGATAATAAATCGAGTTGATCATGGTACTGGAGAGATGGCCCAGCTGCTAAAAGGACTTACTGTTCTTGCAGGGGACCTGGCTCAGTTCTCAGCACTTACATGCTGCTCAAATTCTAAGGTGCCTTCTTCCCCAGATATCAGACATACACATGGTACAAGTACATATACACACACAATTCAGATGCATAAAGTAATAGTAAATAAATCTTTTTTAAAAAAGATTGAACTGATGACATTATTTCAATTGGCATATATAGACAACAGAAAATGTTTCATAAATGATAATTATTAAAACATATTTTATATATGTAGCAATGCATAGGGCACTTTTTCAGAAGCAAAACATACTGCTGTTCATAAAGGGAGACAGGACATTCTGTTTCTAAGAGTCATTCCCATAAGACCCTTCTCATGAATCCTGAGATACCAAATACCTTTATAGACCCCCCAGTGCTTTTAAAAGAAATTCCAGGTTTTACCCCATTATCTTGGCCAATTATTCTTTCTCCCTCTAAATTTTAAGTGCAAGAGGATATGTGCGTGTCTCTTTTGTTCAGTGCTGCCTGTACAAAACCTAATGCAGACTTGGAAACAGCTCAGAAGTGTTGACTTGAGAGAGGAATGAGAGAGAAGTCGCCTGATACTTTTTTTTTTTTTTTTTGGTTTTTACAAGACAGAGTTTCTCTGTATTGTTTTAGAGGCTGTCGGGCCAGCCTGGCCTCGAACTCACAGAGATCTGCCTGCCTCTGCCTCCTGAGTGCTGGGATTAAAGGCATGCGCCACCTCTGCCCAGCTAAGTCTCCTGATTCTTGGCAGTAAACAAAGCAGATGACAAGGACTGTGGTTCAGTCCCCAGAATGCTTGCCTGATGAGCCGATGGTTCTGGGTTCGTCCCACTTCCACCGGGAGTTCTGGCATATGCCTGGAGTTCTTGCAAGCAGGGGATTTAAGCAAGAGGGTCAGAAGTTCAAGGTCATCCTTGGCTGAGCCTAAGGCTAGCCTAGACACCAAGTGATCCTGTTTCAAATGAATGAAGAAGAGGAAGAATTAGCACACAGGTCTAGGAAATAGAAGTGGGGAAGAGGTGCAGCCACACATTGCGTCTAGATCCGTGACCAACGCATAAACTGACTGCTTCACACAAGGAAGCCTCAGCTGATGCCCCAGGAACTGATGCAGGCTGGAACAGATTTGCAGACACGCCAGACTATCACTCGGCGGCCTTTTGCAAAGCCAGAAGAGCAGCTAAGCGGAGAGGGGAGAACTGAAGAACCCACACCAGTTTCCAACACCGCGTGCAAAACCCTGCTGCCTTCGGGAACCTTTGGAATGAGGCACCAGCAAGCAGAGCCGGCAGGCTGGCGGACTTGCAGTGGGAGACTTTGGAGACATTGTCACAGCGGACCAGCTCGCCTGTGCGCCGTGTACTCACTCATCTCACATGTTCACAGCCGCCTTCCCTGGTAACAAGCACTCACTGGTTTCCGTCTGAGTGTGAAGTTTTAAAGGATGCTGTCTGCAGTGTCACCAGTGGCGTTTACTCTCAGTAGCTTCCTCATGAGCGGCTGTCGCTCTCGTTGTTGCCACTGAATAGCTGAAGAGAGGAAGCGTTCTGAGGCCTTAGCGTTGTTCACCATGGAGAAGAGCCACGCCTTGAAGCTTTGAAGGTCAAATTGGCAAGATGAGTCTGAATCCTCTCAATTTTTAAACCTTTCTTTCTCATCCCGTCTTTGAGAATTCCGTGCCCATCTTGATCACGCTCATTCAGCTCCCCCTTCTCTTGCCTAACACCTCCCTTCTTCCTTATCCACAGAATCACTATCTGTCTCATGTGTAAACCTTCAAAAATATTTTTTGCTGCCCAAATATTCTTGGATGTGTGGACTTCTACTGGAATGCGGTCGACGAACGAAAGCCCACACTCTTGGAGAGAACCGTCTCTTCCTCTCCCAGAAGCTATCAGTTGCCAACAGCTATTTGGCTTGGGGTAGGGTAGTATACCCAACTCCCTTTCTATACTGTGATTATGCCTGTCTCGAGCTTGCATAGGCCTTGTGCATGCGGTTGAAATTGCTGTGAGTTCTTATGCGCGAAGTCCCTGCTGTGTCCAGATGTTTCCTTGTAATCATCCACCACCTCTAGCTATTACCTTCTTTCTCTCTCTTCTTCAGAAATGATTCCTGCGCCTTGGGAGGAGGGTGAAGTATATGTGTCCCGTTGGGGCTGAGCATTACACAGCCTTTTATTTTACTTGGGCCAGCTGTAGGTCACTGTAGGAATCACCGTCTGCAGATAGAGGTGTCTCAGGTACAGTATGATCGATGCACTTGTCTGGGGGTAGATTGATATAGATCATTGGAAGTTGTTTTAATGCTAAACCCATGTAGCAGTTCAACAGTGAAAGCTTCCCCTAGGGCCTGTGACCAGTCCAGCCATTGGTTCTTCACTGCTGAGAATGGGCTTCATCTTATGGAGAAGCACACTTTTGGCTGCATCCAAGAAACACACCTCATGGTCAACAATAGACACTGCCTTAGGGCAACAGGTTGGAAGAGTATTCCAAGAAAATGGAAGGAAGAAGCAAGTAGGTGTCACTATACCAACATCTGACAAAATTGTCTCCAACCTAAAACAAAAAACAAGCAAACAACAACAACAAAAGAAACCCTCAGAATAGATGAGGAAGGGCATGTTATACTCTTCTAATCTTATAGTTAGCAAGACTGAGGCACAGCTAGTCCAGAATGTCAGTAATTGCATGAACAAATTAAATGTGGGTCCAAATGGCACCAAAGCCCATGCCTGGCATGTGAGGTAGTCCAAAGAGGGTATTGTATCCCCTGGAACTAGAGTTACAGATGTTTGCAAACCATCATGTAGGTGCCGGGAATTGAACCCAGATCCTTTGAAAGAGCAACAAGCGCTCTTAACCGCTGAGCCATCTCTCTTGCACTCTGTTTCAGAATATTTTAATAACATGCTTCATCTAAGAGATTTATATGAATGCATGCAACCACACTAAATTTGTCTTTTTACATGCTATTGTGATAAATACTATATATATATATTCATATATATATGCATACTGCAATGCTTTGTATGGAAAGGGGAACAAATGAAATCAAAGGTCATTAAGTTTGTGACAGTTTCAGACCTCTATATAATACATTATGCTTACACTCACCCCTACTGCCTTACTGATTTCCTTCTTCCTCCTCT